TATATATATATATATATATATATATATATATATATATATATATATATATATATATATATATATATATATATATATATATATATATATATATATATATATATATATATATATAACAAGTCTAAATTAAATTTATTTCCAAATTTTGGGAGATGTCCTACATTAAACCTATTACTACTATATATTAAATGTTCAACTACTCATCCTATTTCATCGACACATTTTAGTTATGGCTGGCCTCTAATGGTCCCATCCGCACATAAAAATATATCTATTATTGTCCTGCAACAGTGTAAGTAAATTTGGACTGCACATTTCAAATTTTATCGAAAATAATACTTTTAACATGATTTTCTTTATTTTCAGACTTAAATTTGAGACCTCTAATTAATAGTGGACCAATAATGGCATTGCACTACAGTCTATATTAGTCATTCATTCAATATTAGTTGATCATATTATAAAAAAAAGTTATTTTTGATTTTTTTATCAATTTATAAAATCAAAAGAGAATTAATTAAATTTTTCTCATTTTAACTTTACAATTAATTTTTTTAGAAAATGTAAACAAGTTGTAAAGTTTTTGTTTTTTTTAAAAAAAATAAAATAACAAGTGTAAGTTTTTTTTTATTTAAAAAAAGCAAATGGGGCAAAAATTTTAGAGGATAAAACCTAGACCTATAGTATACCAATAGCCGCCTCCTAATCATAAACAAAATATATACAGAAAGGAACTCGAGACCCAAGTTCGAAAAATGTTTTGTAATTAGGAAAAATTATCTTTAATTTATCATAATCTCTAAGAAATTTACTATTTTAAAAAAATCCCTCTCACTGATTCATTCATCTCCTCTCGGATTCATCACTCCCATATATATTTGGATGTCTTCCCTTTCGTGTACATCCCTCCCTTATGTATCTGGATGTCCTATCCCCTCTTTGGTATATTCATCCCCTATGTATTTGGATGTCTTATCCTTCTCGATTACATCCCCTCCCCTTTCATATTTTAAATGTTTATTGATGTATCATGGAGTCTATTGATGTATCCGGAAGTCTAGTAATGTATTCAAAATCTATAGATTCTTGTAATTTAAAAGGGAAACAATGTAATTAATTAACTATTGGCATTATGAGATTTATATAAATCTATCTAGCTAGATAATTATACGTTTGAGGTGTGTAGAAATTGTATTTTAAAGTTGCAAGTTGTAATTATGTAAATTATTATACTAATAATTAGTCAGGCCAAACTTTAAACGTTTTAGTGAACTTTTAGCTTGATTGCCAAGACTAACATCAAACATTTTTTGGACAAAAGTCTCAGATCATTATTATATGTTAAAATAAAAAGTCTTTATAATAATTTTTTTAAAGTTATATCATTATTATTATTATTATATGTCTCAGACATTGAAGGACAATAGATACTATTATTCACGTAACAAAAAACGTGCATGTGGTGGTCTATAAATTAAATTGGAGATAGATTAATAGGAAGCAAAAACAAAGATGAATATATTGAGTTTCCTCTTGCTTTCAACTACCCTCTCTTTGGTTGCCTTTTCCATTTCTGATACTAATGTGAATGTTATATCCACTCCTGTGTTGGACAGGGAGGGCAAGTCACTCAAGATAAACGAGGAGTACGTGATTAATAGTATTGCCGTTGGCGGTGGAAGCGTATACTTAGATAATATTAAAAACCGTACACAATGCCCAAACGACGTTTTGCATGACAGTTCTGGTTCTTTTTATAACAGCACAGCCGTCTTGTTTTATACTATGCAACTTGGAAGTCTTTTCGTTTCTGAAAACCAAGATGTTAGTATAATGTTCTCAACTTCTTCTGTAAGTAAGTCATGTGTTAACGAAACTGTTTGGCAAGCTGGTGATTACATGCTAGGCCCCATACATCCACCACCTAGGTTTGTTATAACTGGTGCTACCTTAGGATTTCCAGGACCTAATAACATAAAGAACTGGTTCAAAATAGTGAAACATGAGACTGGGAGACCTCATTCTTACAAGTTAAGGTATTGTCCTAGTAAATTTATTTGTCCAACATGCCAAGTTGATTGTGCAGATGTCGGATTGTACAAGGACAGTGGACGGACCCGTCTTGTTCTCAATGACGAGACTTATGCCTTTGGCTTTAGCAAAGTAAACAACCATCTTGATGCATAGTTAATTATTATCTATGCTTTTTAGTATAACCTAGCTCTATTGCTTTACAGCTAAAATAATTATGTGAATCATCCTTCTATGTAATATTAATGCTTATTATGATGAATAAAAGAGCTAGGTTCTTTATTTATTTATTTCTGCTTTCAAATAAATGAGTGCTACGGATTGCTTATCGATAATTATTCAATCCGGTACCGTTACAACATTTGTTGTAATTCTCAAATGTAGCCTTGCATTCTTGATAGCTACAAAAATAATTAAAGTGTAGGTAGCAAATTGATTGATTTGCTTGCATGACAACTACGTTTTTTTTTCTTTATCCAAATCCTAATTCATTGGCATGTTTTAGTTATGGACAATTACATTAGTATCGTTTGGGCCAATAAGACATGGAGCAATAAATCACAAAAGTATTGACCAAACTAAGACATTATATAAAGTAATTTATTAAAAAAAAAACAAAATATATATTTTTTTTTAAATTTTATAAAACTAGTATAAATGTATTTTACAGTAACATTTTAGGGTATATTTTATTTTTTAAAAGCTGACGGTGTTAGATTGATATACGTTACTCATAGTAAAGTTTTACTCCTAAAACGTTACTGTGAGTAACGTCTTACTCTTAAAACGTTACTCACGTAGGAGTAAAATGTTACTCACGGTAATATATATTAATCTAACGCTGCAAGTTTTTAAAAATTGAAATATATTCTAAAACGTTACTGTGAAATACATTTATACTAATTTTATAAAATTTTAAAAAATTTTATTGTTTTAATAAATTTTTTATATAATAACTTAGTTAGATAAAAAGTTCTAAATCACACGCTTAAATTTGGATGAAAGACATATATATACACTATATTTTATCATGTTAGCGTAAGAAGTCATAAGATCTACTTTTTTTTTAGTTTTCACATTAGATATTTGGTGCTCACATCATGTATTTAGCCTTTTCTTATTGGCTGCTAATTTAGGTCTCATGTGTTTGAAGATGAAAATCCAATTATAAATGGAAAATAGCAAACATGAGGCACCCAATAGTCCATAATTTGCCTAGTCACGAATAAAAGCAAAAATGTTAGTGGAGGAAGGAGGAGGGAGATAAGCGAAATATGGAAAGAGACTAGAAGATAGGTACTTTTTCATGGATTTTGGAGACAAATACATATACAAATTGTTTTTGTATTAAAATGAATACATATTAACTGGAGATACGTGAGCCACATCGAGAGATGGAGGAAAGAGGTGGATATCAAGAGAGGCGGAGGGGAGATGATTGTAATTTGTATTCGTTTTGCATTGTATTATGGATTTAGAAATACAATATAATGTATTTTTTATTGTATTCTTTATTTATTTTGTATCAATTGTATTTGAAATACAACGAATACATTTATATTCATCCTCTCTTTGATTAAATATAGATACATTTGACATAGAGGATAAATGCGTATTGTATTTGAATGGATTTCTTCTTGTGGACAGGACGGGGGAGAGGGGGGAAATGGAGGAAAGCAAGAGAGAGGGAAAGGGTTTGTTATAAAAGAAAGGGAAAATTGTATATAATAGCAAACTAATAACTTAAAATAAATGGAGTAGCTAGGGTTTGATTTAATTGTGCTCAATAACAAACGTTTGCGAAAAATTGTCAGGCGCCTCTCTCCCAAATATCTCTCTCGCCACTCTCTCCTCCAATCTCTCGCTTGCTTCCGCACTTTTTATACAAACACAAGTGTATAAAAATTGTTTTTAATTATATAAAACAGAGAAAATTGTATAAATACATATATTTTTGTTCCCCTCTCTCCCCTTTTCTAGATCTCGCTCGCCACTCTCCCAAATCTCACTCGCCACCCTCGCCTTTCTCACTTATACAAATAGAAGCGAAATGTATAAATTGCATTTCTGTTTGTATAAAGCGTGAGAAAATTGTATATACACATGCAAGTACATATATTTTCGTTTTATACACTTATAATTATACAATAAAAATACTCCCCTGCCCAGTTTCTTTTGTTTTTCTCTCTTTCTCGTTTTATACAATTTCCAAATTGTATCTAATTTATCTCTTTCTCGTTTTATACAATTCGATTCAATTGTATATTCCTTGTCAAGTCTCTTTGTCTCTCTCTTTCTCATTTTATACAAATTCAAATTGTATATAATCGTTCTATACACTTATAATAATACAATTCGTTTTATACACTTTGTATTTATATATTTCTCTGCCCAAGTGTCTTTCTCTTTCTTGTTTTATACACTTCGTTTTATACAATTTGCTTCAACTGGAGCGCAATTATGCAAAATTTGCAATAGTATACAAATATAAATTTTTTATTTGCTATATGTGAAAGTTACCCTAAAAAAATAATATATTTTTTTATACAGTATTTTTAACCCATAAATAAGTTGTTGATTTTAACTGGTGTCATAATTTTTTCATTAATTCGACTTAAAAAATTGAAAAAACTTAAGCAAAAAAAGAACCGACAGTGACAATTAATTTGACATATTTGTTTGGCACATTTTTGTTATGGCATAGTAACACATGCGGTCCCGTAAAGACATTCATATTCATTTTTGTTTTAATTCATGTAATTTTGGATTTGTTTATAGTATATGTAATAAACATTGAATTAATTTTACAATATCAGTAACGGTGAGGTTGGATGAATTTAAAAAGTGAGAGCACATATATTGTTTATGAACTACATTTAAATTTCAAAGCTGAAAATTGATGATAATCAAAAATATTAAAAAATATTTCTAAATTTGACATAGAATTTTATTTTCAAATTATTAATAGCATTATAACACCTTTCTATTTCACTATTGTACTGAGACCACTTTATTGGTTGTCAACTATTACATGTTAGAGTTCTAGTATCTATATTAAATGTATTTCAAATTTAAAAAGATCAATTATAAATTAAGCCTACTACTATTGATAAAAAAACAAATGAACCATCCTTGTCACGAGGTGAACTTTTCAGCGTCGTGAAGGACAGTCAAGAAGGCTTGCACAGCTCTTCTAACTTCAGTCCAACCAAACGTCCAAAGAATCTAAAGCAAACGTCCACAAGCAAAGCCACAAAACAGAAAAGAAAGGCAAGAAGGGAAGCAAGAAAGGCAACCAAATTTTGGTAGGCAGCAAGGCCAGTTTTCCAAGAGAGAGAGCTTCTAAGAATTTTACAAAGTAAGGGGAAAGTAATTTTTCTAACTATCTATCTGAAATGGACTTCTTGACATATACATAGGCTCCAAAAGTGAGCCAAAAACGTTTTGGACAAACATTCAAAATAAAAGCTACAAGTGGCAGATTCTGTGTGGTTGGACCAGAGGCAGCTTTGTCCTCACAGCTTTTCTGCCACATGGCAGATTGCTGGCACAGAACTTTGTCCTTCTCCCCTTGGCTGGTCTGGTGAGCATGACCTGTTTTCTCCATGTTGGCAAGCAACCTCCAGCATTTGGGGAGGCAGTGTGACAAGGCAGTTTGGGCCCTCCAAGTTTTGAGGAAATGTTGCTGCGTTTTTGGACTTGACGGAATTTAATGTTCCGCTTTGCGGGGCGGGACACGCCCCCCCCCCCGCCTGAACTGGCGACGACCCCGACGCCACAAAGCTGCATGTACCGATGAACCTTGTCACGGAACTGCCACAAGTCTTCGTACTTCTCCCAAGTTGCCTCCTCCGGTGCCGTTCCCTTCCAGTGAACAAGGAATTGCGAACTTGAATTGTTCCAGCCTTTCCCACGAACCAGCTGATGATCAATGATTGCCTCAATCTGTTTGTCCACGGTAGGCGGCGTTATGAAAATTCTGGCCCTCTCGGAATGCCCCCGATCCTTATCTTCTTTGTCTTCAAAGTAGGGCTTTAATTGGCTTGCGTGGAAGACCGGATGAATCTTTAGATGGTGCGGCATGTCTACCCGATAGGAGATTTTGCCAGCCTTGGCAACAATCTCAAATGGCCCCTCGTACTTGCGAATCAAATTCTGATTTACGCCTCGCAGTGACTTGAATTGTCGGGGATTCAGTTTCACCATGACTCTATCTCCAACCTGATAATTCACCGGATGTCGCCTACGATCAGCAAACTTTTTCATTTTTCGGGTAGCCTTGTCGAGGTACGACCGTGCAAGGTCGACCTGTTCTTCCCAGGCCTTAGCCATTTGATAGGCACCTGGACTTTTGAAACCAGCATCGACAGGCAAGGACTGGGGTGTTGTTGGCTGCTGCCCCGTTGCTAATTCGAATGGACACTTCCCCGTTGCCTCACTGCGCTGTAGATTATTTGAGAACTGGGCAGTGTCTAGCAGCCTTGCCCAGTCCCTTTGATTAGCACTAACATAGTGCCTCAGATAGCACTCCAATAGTGCATTGATTCTCTCCGTCTGCCCGTCCGTTTGAGGGTGGAAACTGGTCGAGAAATGCAACTCTGATCCTAGCAAGCTAAACAGCTCCCTCCAAAATGAACCCATAAATCGGGGATCACGATCGCTGATGATGTGCTTAGGAATGCCCCAGTATTTAACAACATCACGTAGGAAGATCCTGGCAGCTTCCTTGGCTTTGCAGTTAGTCGTGGTGGCGGTGAACGTCGCATACTTGGAGAAGCGATCCACCATGACCATAATTGTTCCGAAGCCTTCCGAATTTGGCAAGCATGTTATGAAATCCATGGTGACGCTGTCCCAAGGCTTTTCAGCAATGGGCAGCGGCTCCAGCAATCCGCCGAGTACCTTTGTCTCAACTTTGTCCTGTTGGCAGACAAGGCACGTTCGCACGTATGCCTCAACGTCATCCCGCATCCGAGGCCAGTAGTATGATGCTTCCAGTAATGCCAAAGTTCTCTTCTGCCCTGGGTGACCAGCCCTGGCAGAATCGTGGCCTTCCTTCATTAAGGTACGCCGAAGGTTAGCCCACTTCGGGACGTACACACGCCTACCCGTTGTATATAGCAGGTCGTCTTCCTCCCAAAACTTCTTGGTCTTGC